ACAAATAAAGCTTCATAGGAAGGCACCTAATGCGGCACTTTGATAAACCATGTGCCATTGAAGAAGGTATTGTACGCTGTGTGAGGGCAGCGATGAATGCTCAAAAAGAAACACGACGACAAATAAATTTAGGCAGGTAAGGAAACTAATCTTATATAGTTGCGCATTAGGCACATGTGATTGGTACTTTGGCTGAATGATATACACATACTGTCTGGCCACGGCACAAACACAGCACGGATATACATTCAGACGCGTCGTTTCGAAACCACCACTGAATTATGCGCTCAAATATGGCACAAGGTGTGTCAGCGAGAGCTCGTGAACCAGCCTACATTTCATTGCAGGGTTGTGACGTCTATATTCTTCGTGCGCCGAAAATAAGCGTTTCAGACGTGTACTTAGCCAATACGTGCAAACTTAGCCAATAACCACACAAAGTACAGTTTCACTTCATTTTTTTTCTTTGCATACCGCTAGCATCGGAAGCCCGTAACATCCGGATTGCAGACTATTCCGCAACCCACGAATATACCGCGCAAAAGCAGCAGAGTAGCCATTGCTGATGTACTCAATCGATATCATGCAATACTGTCAGTGCCATAACATTTAATGATTTGTGTAACTATGGCCTACGACGCATGAGATGGTACGACAGTACGTAATGTCATGAATATAACGGAAAACAGTCAGAGTTGAATTCTAAAAGCCGTACGTAGCGGCCCAGAATCTACGGCAAACGTAAGCCTGTACCGGTTCGCGTGTTTGGCAAGAATGCAGGCGGTCCGCGTGCAAGCGTTGCTGAATGGCGAAGTCGCTCATTCGGCTAATGCTCTTTGGTAACTCGGTATACTGGAAATACGCTATATCCGGAAGAAGGCTTTATATCGACTGTAGGATTCTCTTATCGTAAATCTTCTCGACTTCTCGACCTTATAATACCCTTGCTGAACACCTCTGACAACTCTGGCGTCTTGAAGTCGTGTGCTTAAATACAGGGCGAAATTTTCATTTGGTCTGTCCAACGCCAGCTCGCATTTGTATGCCTATACAAGTATACAATGAATGACTATACTATAAACCCACACAACAATAGATATTCGGTAAAAACATCACACTGTTATGAGTCAAACATACAAAATACGCCTCATAATACAAACTACTAAAGCCAACATTCCACTGAAGGAAGAGCGATGGTTGTTTAAAATATTTTGCAAATATAGAAACAGCGTTCAGTTTTCATACGACACAAGCGTTGAACGACAATCTTTTTTTTCTTATTTTTTACTGATATACGCAACATGTAAAAAGGCAATACAGATGCACAATCGCTCTGGAATCACTACTGAACAAGAGAGTAACAAGACCATGCAATGCTTCAAGAACGCAGCCATCTCATCAAAACAACAAGCAGCACGCATGACCAAAAACACAGGAACAAGCGAGGCACAAACGCAGCTCGTTTGGTGCCTCATGAGCGTGCAACAGGCATGGGAATAATGCAAAAATACAAGAAGCTCTCGACACAGCCACCATGCCTGAGGCATCATTAAAAAAGCAGCTTTTCACTTGTCCTTAGCAAACAATATGTTTAAGCACGGCGAAGCATTTTGCGCCGACGTTCATCGTACCGGTATCCCACTTTAACAAACTTTTTCTAGAGTATTAAAGGTTTTGATGGAGGCGATAATGCTGTAGTCCCGTGTGCTCAGATTTGGGTGCACTTTAGAAAAACCCCAGGTGGTCGAAATTTCCGGAGCCCTCCACTACGGCGTCTCTCGCAATCATATAGTGGTTTCGTGACGTTAAAACCCACTCATCAATCAATCAATATATAGTATTGAAGGAGTACCCGCATAACAATTTTGTTTCGTCACTGTTCTTGTTTGATTTAAACGAATGTTCAAGCCCTTTACATTCTTCAAGAAACGCTGACACGTATCGGAATGGGCACTTTTCTATGCGCACCCCTTTCGGCGTCCACCATACGTCACGGTTCACTGCGGTCGTGAAGCGGTGACGTCATGATACACTAATCTGACGACATTACACACAATTCCTGGAAATCACTGTGGCTGCCACAAGCGAGCGTAGCTGAAACTGCTTCAAGCTTCGGGCGCACTTCAATTACGGAACTTTCAACTCGAGCTAATCTACCAACACTAACAGAAATAAACCGCTTATCTAGACTAAAATTTCTATATCAACTAATAAAGGGACATTAAAAGATAGACATTTCTGAAGTTAATTCATTTTCGTCCGAATATGCAACTTGACAAAGGCATTAGCGCCCAATAACACCCTATGCAACCCGTAACAACTGCTTTAAATATTCATTCTTTCCACGAACTATAAACGACTGGAACACACTAACCAACACCGAAGTTTTACAGCCATCCTTAACATTGTGTTCTTCTAGCCTCAATAACAGTGTTTAATATAGCATGCCAATTAAGCTCTGTCCCCATATACGTTCAAATTTTTGCATATTTGGGTTGCTTTGTGCGTACTTTTGTTTCTGTGTGTTTTTATCTTCCTGTTTTGAAAATTTGTTCGTCTTCATATTGAGCATTCATGTAATTCATGTAATCCACTCTGCGAAAATCCCTAGTAGGGATTGCAGTATTCATAAATAAAATAAATAATATAAGAGCAATGTCATGCTTAGCGTTATTGTTGAATGACATCAAAACCTTCTGATATGTCATGACGTCACAATGATGTTGACGACGTCTCTAGTACCTTGTCAATGAACTTGCTAGGGGTGACATTTTTTTTCTGCTTCGACTGCAGGAAACCACGTGTAATGGTTCATTTTACTACAGTTATATCAAATGCCAGTAACCCAGCACTTTTCTAAGCGTCCTGTAGCACCAAAAAACTTTGATTCCATCGCGATGTAAATAGTTGAGTGTTATTTCCAATTGGCCTCAACATGCTCGTTTTGTAATCCTAAAGTGCTACGTTGCCTGATTTCACACGTGCCCGCAAGTGGCCTGCGAAACCACATCGTGTTTTGTGGAGAAACCATCCCAAACCAAAACGTGATTCCGGTACAATGACTGCGCATAATGTTTCTCACATGCACGTACAGTAACAGAAAGGAAAAAAAAAACAGCCACGCGACAAAAAGCAATCATGCGGGTCACAATAAAACGTCCTTGTTTGGGACACCTTTAATATACATTGTCATAGGTCCCTGCGTTTTCACGCGGAAAAAAACAAATCTCTCTTTTCAGAAAGAAAAGAAAAAGTGGTCACTAGCTTCATGTGCGCTCCGACCCGAAGAACGCAGGTAACTGTGCTGACGTGAAAACACTTCGAAACAAGCGAACGAATATAGTCCGCAGTTACAGTTCAGTGCGTGAGGTTTTGCGCGGTGCTTTACACGTCACACAGACGACGATCAGTTTCTGCACACGTGACCGCGACAAACACGTTCGTCAGGTGTGACACAAGCGCAAGGCCCCTGCGTATGCCTCTTTTCTTCGGAAGTGCATCCGAGCATATATACTTTACACGAAACGAGTATCAGTTGAACACGTTGAGAAAATCTGACTAGCGAACTACGTGATACAGCGCATAGAAAAACAAAAGTGGGAAAGAGGTATCACTGTTCAATGTTTGCATCTGAGTGTCCCTAAGGCAGAGTTGTCTCTCATCTGACATTTTTTTTTCTTTATTCCCAGATATTCTGCTTCTTGCACAACGATGGAAGCCAAGCGATACTAACACTTCAAGAAATTGACGTCAGCTGCTGCGTATTTGGCGACACGTAGGTAAGCACTAAGTTAACCTTAAAAGATGTAATCGCTGCCGATTATGACAAAGAAGGCATGGAATGAACTATCTTTCTAAAAATTTCTTGTATTCTACAGCAAAGTTCTCGCCCTTTCTTTTTCGGCTTTATTTCGCGGTGATCATTAATACTGCAAGCTGAAATGTCGCTCTACTAGTCACAATCCCAGCTGTTATAGTCTGAATTGCGCATGTGTGGGAAGCCCTGTAATCGTAGCCAAGTGAAACTTAATCGCCAGGCAATGATGCCTACTTCTGTTTACACTGTGCCAGTAGCATTATTATCATCGATATATATGATAAGCTTTCTAGCGAGATAGAAACGCATATAAAGCTAAATACCATACGCTTTGCTTTAAAGGGCAAAGCTGACCAACATATACGCGAATATGAGTCCCGTCTACTGTCGAGCTAGTTGTACGCGCAACATTAGTTTACTTTCAATATACACGTAGCTTCACCTCTCTCTATACCAGCACAGGTCATGTCAGGCCATTTGCACCGCACGTTGCTTAAGTACAGTCGTACCCACGCTTAACGTGAACACGGGAGCGCGAGCAGCACAGTTATCCGATTGCCCACTTACTAGGCTAACGCTATACTCGGCACCTGAGCATGGGCATTAGCGGCGTAGTTAGATTACTCACTCGGTGTGCAAACCACGTAGTGCCGGTTAGCGTCACTGGTGGCGTTGTGCGGCACGTGCTCCCGTGTTCACACTAAGCATGTTCGCGACCGTACTTCTGGCAGCTCACAGAAGGTAAAGAATTAGGGTGACGCGATGATATCTTAGTTTTCTCTTTGAAGCAAACTATGCCTTCTTCGCATTGGTTCTCATCGCAAGACCGCACTTCCTTATTCAAGTTAACAAAGATAATCTGACGGCTGCTGCGTTCTAACGAAGTTCTAACAGGCGCAACTTACATAAACCAACCGTATACCAATGCGCAAAGATTTAGAAGCATGGCTAACCACACGGCTTAATTGATCCGCACGGCTAAGGCAAGGCCTCATCTGTCACATTTCCGCTACTCTTCGTGCTTTGAGGGACGTTCCTTTTGCAAAACCGACCCGCTCACTGTTAGTACCACACTCGAGTCACAATGCGGTTTTTTTTTTTATACAGTCCTGGTAGCGTGTGTCCGCTACTACCTGGTGCTCAGCCTTAGCCTGCGGATGAAGCTCTTGCTCTTGGCGGGCTTACTTGAGTCGGCGCGGCCTCCAGTTGCTGCTGGCGTCGTCGCCGCCTTCCACGTCGAGCAACTCCCGGCGCGAGGATCGCGGCGGGTGGGCGCTCACATAGCGGCCCGTGCCGCCGATGCTGCCCAGGCTGTCGGCCGAGCGGTCCTGCCACGGGTGGAGGGAACAAAAGTCACACGGGTTTCAGACGTTCTCGCAGCGGACGCTAAGGAGATCAGCGGGTGAAACAGTATGCTCTACAAAGCGCTCCTTCGAATCACTCTAGCGTTCCCCTTTTAAGGGGCCCTGAAACACTTCTTCTGCGCGTTCAGAAAACACAACCGATAGGCAGTCCACACTTCCGAGAGCACGTGAGCCAAGTATTATAGTGCACCACGCGGCCCGGAATTTACAATATATCCTCAAAGTCGGATAGATAGAAACCGCCCCCTCTTTTCTCGACAAACAATGCCACAAATGCCAACGACCTCACCATAAACCCAACGTCCACGGCAATTAGCTCATTTGAGCACTGTGTGCTGCATAGTTACCGTGCCAGCCGCGAGATGCCGCCACGTGTCGGCGGCGCGCGTGCTCCAGATCACACTGAAGGTAAGCCACGAATTTGAATTTAAAAAAGAGGGTTATCAAGATCATGACACGCACAGACGAAGGGAAGCGTATTCTTGCCATACTCCTCCCTCTGTAGCTTTCAACCAATGTCATTTAGATGTTTCAGCACGCTTGCTAGTACGAAAGTACTGAGGAAGCGCTTGAAGCCTGCGACAAATCCCTGTAAATCCGCTCGTGCTTGACGGATTCTAAAGAGTTCTGTGGAAGTCGATTCGGGAGCCAATAGACTCTCTTTTTTGTGTGTGTGTGAAGTCGTTCGAAGATTACTTGGAAAGGTGTTGCAGGGCCCGTTTGAATTTTATTGGTTCACTTTGACGTGTGCGTGAAGCCCAATATCTGCTTTCGTCTTATCAGTTCTGCGCTCTTACCCGGTGTCATGTCGCACCATCTAGCAAATAGGTTCTTACCGTAGTTCGCTTTAATATACGTTGATTCATTTCAAGTTCTATTTAATTTGCACTCCCAATCATTTCGTATCATCACATCTGTGTTTAACGTCACGGAAGTTTCTCTACCATGAGTGGTTACGATGACGTCGGATGACGCTGAATTTTTCGACCAATGACTCTCGCGGTTTGCAATTTGTTGATGTTTCTACGCATGACCCACCTCACTTAGCGAGAAAAAGAAAAGCAGCGCTGCTTTAGACAGACAAAGGAACACAAGGACGGACGGTGTCCATATCTAAACTACAGCGCTGTTACTATAGATGAATCCTTACCGGCGAGCTCGCTTGCTTTCAAACACTATTAAACGACTGCGAAAGTGCCTTGTTTTGTGTACGTATGTGTAATTATTTTCTTATATTATCTATCCCTCCCTATTCTTATCTCCTTTTTAAAGACGATAGTCTTTCTTGGGGACCTTCAACGAAAAATTTTTTGTCTGTCTGTCTGTGTGTCTGTACATTTCTCAGTTTGTCCGCCCTTAACGATACCTCAAACGGCATCAAACGGCCAACACCATCAGCAGCGCCCACCATTATTGCTCAAGATTTAGCGTTCATAGTTGTGCGATTGTCAATTAAAAAGCAATTATTGCGCATATATGAGACGCCATAACAACACGTCGATGTTTTGTATGTGTGCCTTCATACCAGAAGAGACACACACAAGTAACTCTAAGGAGTGTATACCGTTTATCGCGCTGCGCTGACAGAGCAACGCGATGCTCAAAGAGGTAAGTGTTTCCAACGCTTCGCTACGACGACACGGTGGTGGCACCTGCCCGTCGCTTTGCGTTCTACACCTTATCACCAACGAGACAGGCGCGCATCTTTCTCCGCGGGCACGCACGCCTTAGTTTTCGAAGATGGCCAGATGGCGCTCGTGTCTAACGTGCCTCGATGCACTCGTTCGCCCCCCCTACACGCTCGAGGCACTCTAACGCAGTGCCTCCAGAATACGATTCACCGATTTCCTTGCGCAGAACACCAAATAAACGTTTTGTTCACTCTCCAGACACAAGAATCGTCTTTCGACGACATTTGCAGAGTAACATGCAGATTTCGGCCAATTTTTTGGTCCCCATGCCATGCATATACGAGATAGTGAACTGTGGAAATGAGTCGAGTTAGTAAGCAGTATAATATTGAGTGAGTGAGTGAGTGAGTGAGTGAGTGAGTGAGTGAGTGAGTGAGTGAGTGAGTGAGAACATCTCCTCACCTCGACGAGATAAGGCGAGAATCGGTGAGCACTGGTCGCGTCTTCGCTGTCGTCTTCTTCGGCTGCGGCGGCCGCAGCGGCCTCCTTCTCCCTCTGCAGTTGCCGCTGCCTCCACGGGGCCATGTCCGAGTGGTGGGAGCGCACGCTGGGCGTTGGAGAGTTGCGACTCGAAGAGACTGCAGCGCGCACGCTGTGTTAGTAAGAAGCCGACGAATAATCTACAGATATAAAAAAACCGTATCACCACATTTCGGCGATTCCGAAGAACTGCCTACTCTTCGGCGTACAGCAGCGGTATTGTTTAAGCTATAGAGTACTCGCAGTTCACGCTGAGTCACCGCCGTCGGCTGCAGTTTACAATGAACATGCGCACATGCATTCAACACACGCGACTCTTGCGGATCACACCACGATGCTATGTATTATGGTGAGTACTCCTTCGTCTTCGCTATCTTCTCCATACTCCCAGTCTGCCGTAGGAAGATAGAGAAAAAGACACACACACACACACACACACACACACACACACACACACACACACACACACACACACACACACACACACACACACACACACACACACACACACACACACCACACACACACACACACACACACACACACACACACACACACACACACACACACACACACATGCGCACACACACACACGCACACACACACACACACACACACACACACACACGCACACACGCACGCATGCACACACACACAAACAAACACGCACACGCGCGCACTCACACACACAGTGCAGCAGCTGCCTTGACAAAGACAAGTCCGCCTGAGGGAGACGTTGGTTGCTTGGTGACACCTTGCTTGAAAATACTTCATCTACTTAGGCTTCTGTTTTCCCTTGAACATCTCTCTTATTTGAATACACAGCATTGCAGCTATAAATCAATGGCACTCTTTTTGTTTGTTCTTTTGAGAATGAAGATTACTCGAACACGATAAGAAGGCTCCTAGTTAAACTGAAGAAAAAGGCGGTTTCCGGCCAGTTTCAAGCGGGAATTTACATGGGAAAGCCATACTAACATCTAGAATTGGAACCCGGGACCATAATAAACTTCGTGTACGTTCCTCCCCTTGCAGTTTCCCGCAGACCTAATCGGCCTTATGACACAATATTTACATAAAAAAGGCATAAGTTCAGTGGAAGATTGCAGAGATGAGAATTCTTAGACATGTACGATCACCGGAGTCGACGTTTCGACTAGCGGTCCTGTCTTCTGTTGCAGCTTTGAAGAAGACAAGTACGCTTGTCGAAACGTCCGCTTCAACGACATCCCCTGTTCACAAAGATTTTTCTATCCGCTGGCAGGAAGCCCCTACAGCGAGCCTTCGCAGTCCAAAACTATCTAATTTGCCGACTCACCGTCGGACGCGTGGTCTGGCCTGGCCAAGTCCCCAGAACTATCGGGCTTGTTTAACCGCTCCGAGCTTTGGTCCGGCGAAACCGGGAATCCGCTCCCCATCCGTGGACTCGCCGACGAGTCGCTGTCCGCTGCACCAGAATTTACATTCAAGAGAGGAAAGAAGACAAAAAGAAAAAAAATAAACATCACTGAATGCCGTTTCTTCGGCAACAGAGCTGACGGCACAATGTTGAAGCGTAGCGTCTCCAGTTTTAACCAGAACACATGGTCAGCTTTGGAAACTAGTAGTGGACTACCGTATTTCACTCGCCTGCTGGTGTTCTGCAGTTATAACGACAAATAATTGTTGGGGATTTGCGCCTCGAAACCCCAATATGATTATTAGAAACAAAGACTACAGGCCTACGTGACCACCTTTAACTTTTGTGTAGTGCCACCGCTGCATACGCGCCAGCCGATTGACTGACAATCCTCTTTTTTTTCTCTCTCTCTCTTTCTCTTCTCTTTCCTCTCTCTCTCTCTCTCATCTTTATGCCCCCCTTCCCATTCCCCCAGCGTAAGGGAGCAAACCGGGCATGTGCCTGGTTAACCTCCCTGCCTTCCCTCTTGTTGTTCATCCCCCCCCCCCCCCCCGTATGGTAGAGGGCTCAGGAAATTTCAGTCACCCGGAGTCCTTTAACGTGCACCTAAATCTAAGCACACAGCCACCTATAGGCTTTCCTCGAACTGCTGTCGCCATCGTCGGGATTCGATCCTGCGGCCTTCGTTTCAGGCATGGAGCATCATAACCGCCTCCGCGGCATAGTATAACACCGCGACTAACTGGTCAAAAAGCAGTCTCTCTTTTATTGTGACGAAAACAATCACTTCTCTGTCCTTCCCTACTCCCTTCTCTGTCTTTGCCATGTTCCCATTACTGCACCTAATGTTCCAATCTTTGCTCAAAGAAGCAACATGTTCACGAAATCTCAGAAGCCATCTAGCCGAAAAGCAAGTTTCTATATAGCGTGGTTATCAATCGGCTTTGCGCCGTTATTGAGATTACATGAGACGCATCCGCAAGCATCAGTGGATTTATTCAGGCTACTCATTGCATCGGTTCATACATGCACAATGCAACGCATGATATCACTTAGCGTCAAGGACAACGCGGACTATCGCACCGCATCGATGCCATCTTCCAAAACCACGCATGCGCCCTCGACGACCGCGCACTCTCTCGAGCTTTCTCCTGCAGCGCCCCGAGCGGTCTCAGTTAGTAAATAAACGGAGCAAATGATTAATTAACGACGATTTTTCTACCGTCCATTTCAGGCGCAGCATATTCCGTTGCGTTCCGCAGGGCTGTCATCAGCACTTTCAGCAGAGTCACACACAAACAAGCTCGCGTGTTCTGTCCGACTTTCGTGTCGGTCTGGATTATTGCACCTCTTTTTTCCTCTCTTTGAAAGTTTTCGGCGAGGTCTACTTATAGAGCGCCCTCCGCAGGGCGGTATTTGTGCGTGGTGTACGTACACACACGCGCCAACGAACTTAATCCGCTTATATAAGGCTGCGGGTTTCGGCGTGTCTTCTAATCCTGACCCGCGCCAGCTATAGCAGTCCCCCACTCACCCCGCGAACCTCTCGGCTTACACACACTCCTCTGCGGTGGACAGAAAGGTCGTGAGGTCGACCACCTTAATTTTCCATATATATATATATATATATATATATATATATATATATATATATATATATATATATATATATATATATATATATATATATATATATATATATATATATATATATATATATATATATTGTTGTGCCACAGACATTTTCCTCGTTCGGCAGCACGTCTCACGAGATCGAGCGCTGTTCCGACGAACTGTCTCCCCCCCTCCCAGCGCCGCCTTCCGTGCAGAAGAACCGTGCAGTTCCGGGGATAACGTCGCTTCCTCCGCCGAACCACCTCGCAGTTCCGGGTATGGCTACGTCTCCACCTCCGAGCCCGAGAACTGGTCTTAGAGAATGGACCGAAGACGTTATTTAAGGCCGTGCCGACCCCATGTTAGAGGATTTGCCCCAGCCGACGTTGTCGTGCTGGCCGGCTCTGTAAAAACGACAACCTGCTACAGTAAACGTTCCTTCTTGTTGCTGTTTTCAAAACGGATTGCCTCCCTGCTTCGCCTTCGGGCAAAAGGATTCGGCGAAGTCCGCTCGACGGCTCGCCGCTCTTCGCCACCGCTACCATCGCGACACAGCAAATTCTTAACAGTGGTTGGCAGCTGCGGCATACGCTACCCCTGTCCTCAACGTTTTGCCACTCTGAGACCCGCTACCCCGATCTCAAGGGCTGAAAAGTTGGATCGGATCCTCGGAAGCCCGAGGACGACCACCGTGATATTGTTTTGCTGCCCTGGGACCCGCTACGCCGACTTCAACGGCTGGAGAGTTGGAGCGGATCTTTGCAGGCCCGAGGACACCCACGACACCGCTCGACGGCAACGACGAGATGGCCGAAGTCACCCGCTCTGGTTGGGTGAGTGCCTGACGTTCGTCTTTTGTCGTACAGACCCTGTTAGCACAGAGTAGCCAAGTATGTTCTTTTTAGATCTTTAAGTGGCTACTGCTTGGCTGGTTCTCGACTTGCTTCACGTCGTAGAATACAGCTTCTGAGACAAAGCTCTTTCACAAAGGAACGTGCACGAGTTGCGGTACACGATGAAGAAGCTCAAAGTGAGGGACCTTCTCGATGTTTGTGAGCAGCTGGGTGTTTCTGTTGCTAGGACGAGCCGTAAAAGAAATATCCTTGATGTCATGAGAGCGGAGGGAATAACTGAAGAGGAGGTAAAAGAGGCTATGGAGACAATTAAGGAAAAACAGCGGGAGGCTGAGGAGCGTCTAAAACGCGAACGCGAGGAGGCTGAGGAGCGTGAAAGGCGAAAAGAGCGTCAACGTGCTCTTAGAATAAAAGAGCTAGAACTTGAGCAGCTTCGCATAGCCTCGGCGCAGTCTAACACTATCCCTGGCAGACGAAATGCCAAGACAGAAAATCCAAGATTTGATTCTGCCGTTTAGGACGGGTGGAGACATCGCGCTTTTTTTAGTGAACTTTGAGCGCACGTGCGAGAAAATTGGAATAAATGAAGGTGTCTGGTCCCAGAAGCTTCTGTCAGTCATTCCGGGAGAGGCCGCGGAAGTAATAGCTCGGTTGTCTAAAGAAGACTCTGACGACTACGCTAAGGTCAAAGCGGCTCCCCTTCGTAAGTACCGCTTGTCTGCCGAGGCATTTCGGCAGCGGTTTCGGCAAGCAAAAAGGGGCAGTGAATCATGCACAGAGTTCGTGTACCAGCTTAAGTCTAATTTGAAAGAATGGCTTAGAAGTGCGGATGCGTACGGTAACCACGACAGGGTGGTGGCCCTCGAGCAATTCTATCGTGTGTTGCCTGAAGATGCCAGACTCTGGCTTCAGGACAGAATGAAGGGAACAGGCATTGACAAAGCTGCTGAGCTAGCTGATGAGTATCATACGCAAAGGAATTTTCAGTTGGATCGCGAGGATACAAAAGAGAAGAGGGACTCCTCAAGGCGGCTTGCTGCTCAAAATGCAGCACAAAAGATGGCTCCGCCGCGTGACGAATTCAGTCAGGGAGCGACTAACAATGAGAGGGAAAGGAGAAAGCCAGGAGAGGCACCTGAGTCGACAGCAAGTGCGAGGGAACGCGCCGACACCGCTCGAGCTTTTGAATCAAAACGACCAATTGTATGCTACAATTGTAAAAAGGAGGGTCATATCTCATCTAGCTGTAAGCAAAAGTTTGCTTTTGCTGGCATTCGCGAGTCGGACGGGAACTTGAAGTTACTCGAGCCTTACATGCGCGAAATCGTGGTCAACGGAAAGAAATGCCGGGCACTCCGCGATTCAGCTGCGACGATGGACGTAGCACACCCATCTTGCATCTCCCCTGGCGACTATACTGGCGAATGCGCCGGGATCAGACAGGTTGCAGAAGAGCAAAGTGCCTCTTTGCCAATTCCTGCTGTTGTTCTAGAGGGAAATTTTGGAAAAATGCGCACTGAGGCGGCCGTGAGCCCTAATTTGCCCCAAGATTTTCCGTACCTTTTTTTTCCAACAAATCAGAGCAGCTCGTTAAAGAAAAGGCCAGTCATTTTCATCTCCCCTCGCGTGCATGGCACTCACGCGATCGCGGTCCCGCGCTCTCGCGGGGAGACTTGAGATCTCGGTTTCGAACGAGGAGGCGGTCGAGCGTGAGACAACTCCCCAGGGAGACTCGGGCCAAGAGGCGGCTAGGGTATCACAGGACATCGAAGACAGTAGGGCTTTGGATACGGTATTGGCTGCCGAACGCGACGAGCCTGTGGAGGTGGATGAAAACAGGGCGCTTCAGGAGAACGTTCAGTCGTCCCTGCTTGGTCCCACATCCACTTGTTGGGAAGAGCTCAGTAAAGTAGACAGGAACACACTCGTCACTGCGCAGGCAAGTGATGATACCATTAAGAATCTGCAGCATAACGGGAAAGAAGGAGTAGCCCGAAAGAACATCTCATTCTACACGAAGGCAGGGCTCATGTATCGAAAGTATCGGGACGCTGAGGGAAGAACGTTCGACCAGCTTCTAGTGCCAGAGAAGTACCGACGACAGTTTTTGGAACTGGCGCACGGAAATGCCTGGGCGGGCCACCTTGGCATCAAGAAAACAAAGGCGAGGCCCGCACAGGATTTCTATTGGCCTGGATGCTGGAAAGATGTAGAAAACTTCGTGCGATCGTGCGACACGTGTCAGAGAGTAGGAAAATCTACTGACAAACGGATGTCCCCGATGAGATTAGTGCCTGTTATCACAGAGCCGTTCCGGAGGCTCGTAATTGATATTGTTGGCCCCCTTCCAGAGTCCCGTTCGGGTTGCCGCTACATTTTAACTGTTTCGTGCGTGGGAACGAAATTTCCCGAAGCGGTTCCGCTAAAAGAGCTCACTTCTCCCTGCATTGTGAACGCACTTTTGTCCATTTTTGCTCGCGTTGGCTTTCCAGCCGAGATTCAGAGTGACAATGGGAGCGTATTTACCAGTTGTCTAACAACAGCGTTTTTTGAACGCTGTAGAATAAAAAATAATCCACA